GTTTTGCATCAATTTTCACTTCCATTGGTGCAACTGCAAGAAACAAAATGGAGGAACCAGTTGTGTTGTTGCTGTACTTATATCAAAATAATATTTAACAGCACGTGTGGACCTCATCACACTGTGCACAGGGTCATCTTGCTTCCTGTGGGCTTTTCATTTTCATGCTTCAAGATCATTTTGGATTAGCAAACGTTTTTGGTTGCAACTTGCACAACTCAGTGATAAAGATTACAGAGGTCCATTGTCTCATTCAGGATCTTGCTAAACCATGAAGACTCACTGATTATCCTGTTTTGGGATAAATACAGGATAATTTTCGCTTCTTAACTGTTGCGATAGAAAGACTGATACAACTAGTTGTGGAACAACAATGTTCAGTGGGAAAGCACCAGACACGCCCTTGCTTGGAGCAACAAACTCCATTTGTTCTTAACCAGATAGATGCTTCCTATATTTATCTGCTATTTGGGCTGTGGAAATGGCTTTTAATTCAGACAGAGCTGCTCTCTTAAACCATGCCTCCCCCAAACTTTAGTTATATACACACAATCCAGCGGGAAAGAAAGGAGGAGGTGTAGCAGCTATATTTTTAACACTTTTAAATGCAAGCGTCACAGTCTAGGTTTTAGAATATGAAAGAACCCGAACCCTAACCCACCCTAACCCTTAATGTTTTGAATAACAAGCTTTTAGATTGGAAAGTCAAAATCCAGAGTTGCTGTAACTTTCTTTATTCAACCATGACAGGATCATCATTACTGGGGATTTTAATCTGCATGTTGATGACGCCTCAGACAGCGAGGCCATGGACTTCATGTGACTTCTGAAATCGTTTGCGCAACATATTGCTGTTCCAACTCTTCATCATGGCCACAGATCAGATTTAGTGATCTCCAACGGTTATGATATATATTTTCTTAACAAGATTGTCTAGACTAACCTGCCAGATCACTATTGTAGTGGACATTTAGGCCTAAAACACAGTGTAAATTATCTTGTTTAGAGTCGAATATGAATGTCGGGGCTTGCAGACACAGGTGACACCAAACGAGCAGTATGGAGGGACTCCAGAAGTGTTTTGTGGACTCAAACACTTCACCCACTCCCCATCAGCATAGGGGTGGGTAGATAATGAGTAAATTTTTATTTTTGGGTTAACTATCCCTTTAAGTAAGACCTACCTTAATACATTCAAGACCTAGTGCTCAGTTTTCTAATGTATTTCAGACTTTTTAGAAACTCAGATTTTAAGACCCCACAGAAACCCTGCCTTGGACTCATTAGATTCCGGTAGTTAAAGGTCACTGTTGGAGATGACACAACAACTGTTGCACCAATGCCTCAGGGGTAAAATGATGAAGGGACGATAATTTATATTAAAAAAAAAAAATCAATGGTCAACTTCACTGCAACTTCAAATGTTCTGCAAAAAACACTTTCCAGGCCATTATTCAACACCATAAGTCAAGAACTGCAGGGCATATTAAGACTATATTAATTGCAATTTTACTGGATGGTCAGGGCAAACACCCACAAGTTAGTAATCCTGATTTAAAAACAGGCAACAGTGTTTACTGATGSAGTGCATGGTGTCCTGTAATCCCCAGCACAGATTCAAGCACCTCAACATGAGCGGAGCAGTGCTTGAACACACCTATTAGTTTATATGTAACCATTGGGAAAACCGTCACTCTCTCAAAAAGAATTGATGTGAATGAAAAATAAAAATAAGCCTGATCAGAGACTGTAGAGGAGAGTTTGTATACTYACAGTAAACTTGTATAGTAAAGGGTATTGTTGCCTYTTTCGACAGGGCCGGACTKKTGAYGAMACACTGGACCACCTGTTGGTTGATGCCCATGGTAGGTACTCCATACAGGAAGCTGACCGTGGTAGTCGTACCATTGTCATGTTTTGTTGAGTTGGTTGTTGCCCTCAGGTTTTCTGCTAAGCTACCTGTGAACCATCTAACGTTTGCCTGAGGCTTGGAACCAGCAGCCGTGCAGGTGGCAATGCAAACTTCTTCATCTGCCAAAGTGGGACGGTTATCCTTCACATGTGTGACGGGAGGCACTGAAAGAGTTTCAGACACAAAGGGTTAACATGCAAGCAACAAGGGATCAACAAGGCTCTTCTTCTCTCATTCACACAAAATGTATAAATAGTAAATAAAAAATATTAATCTCACCGAGCACGTTCAGATATATATCTGTCTCGWAACTTCCACTGGGGAACAAAGTGAAGATGCATGTGTAGACTCCTTCATCCAGCAATGAGACATTGGATATCTGAATTGATCCATTCAGCTCTTTAAATATCCCAATAWACTTAAATCGATCATCGCGTCCATYGACATACAGTGGTCCATCTTTTTCCAGAACTGTCAAGAAATCGTTTTTGTGTTTAACTCTGGTCGTCCTCTGCCATGAAATCTGGGAGAGCTSCTCCTTGGTGTCAACAAGTTTGCACGGTAATGTAACTGTACYTCCKTGCACCACAGTCCTGTTTGCTCCAATCACCTGGAGAGCTGTAAAAGATATAAAACCTATCAGGCTATTTGAAAGCACCAACAGAGGTAAAAACACACATGCAAGAAACCCTGAAAGATCTGAGTGGACTATCTGGCAGTCATGCTTTGTTCCTGTTTTACACCTGCTGGTCTCAAACACAAAGCAGTTACAGTTATTCTCCAGCTGCAGCACCTGAAGACTCCCTGTGATCACAAGTCATGAAGCCAAACAGACACTCCTGCAGATCCAGTATCAGCACTTTGTCTCTGTCCAAAGAGGAAGAGACGCTTTACCTTTATTGAAGCTTTAACTRCAAATAGAATAAACACAAATATAAATCTCACCATCAGAACGAAATACAAACATACAAAGAAATGGCATCATCAGAAATAAATACGGATATAAAAATATAAATATCAGAGCTAAACACAATGTGGAATTCACTTCACTTATATAATCTTTTCTCCACGTTGTTATATTATTTCACTGTTTCTGTCCCGTTTGATTAGTTTTTCAATAAAAATGTATTTCGTCGTTACGTCCTGTGAGTAACAGAATAAACTGACATCTTTTCTCAGGACGTGTGATTCTGACAGAAACTTTATCTGTGTGGGTGATATTCGGCGTATTCGCTTAATTAGCATAGAACTATGACACATGTTTCCATGCTTCTCCTACACGTTATTAAAGGCGACTGAACGAAAACTAGAGATAAAATACTAGTCTGGTTCTATTTAGAGAAGGAGGCGCCATCTTACCGTTTGACTGTGAGTTCGTGATGAGAACGAATAGTAACATCAGCCACATGTTGAGGAGTTCCAGTATTCATCCATTTAATTCCCGAGGAAGCAAAGTACGAGTCAGACTGGGAGGAGGAGAAGTTTACTTATCTTCAACCGGATGAGAGCTGGAGTCATGAACTCACAGCTCAGTCGGCTTTACACATTACACATTAGCGCCACCTCCTGGACTGGAGAGTGGAGCAGTAGATTGGCAGCAAACTAAACTCAAATTCAATGATTTTCTTAAATCCTGTTTCTCTAAATAGTTCATCATTATTTGTATATTCCGTGATGTCTTTCCAAACGAATGTAATATTTCACTTTTCGTCTTTTGATTCTGATATTAATTCCCCTCTTTGTTCATTAAGCCTAGTTTATGCTCCTGCGTCACGTCGACGGTGACGCAGTCGTTGAGCATTCGAAGTTCTTCTGCGTCGAGGGAACGCGTTGCTCTGTAATTCACCGCCATGCCGCTAGGGGGGTGTGGCTGTGTGTTTGTGTGGTTATAGCCGAATCCTCGCTTTTTCTTCCGTAAAGTAAACAACAGTAAACAATGGCGACCGTGGTGCAGCAGCTGTATTTGTTGTTGGAGCTCATTAATATTGAGGAACAGATGCTTATATTGCAAATGTTGAAGCGCAGGCGACAGAGAAGACGTTTGCGGAGCTGGTTTTTACGACGAGGAAGAAAGACCGGAAAAGCAACTGCCGGAACTTACGTTCTGAGCGGACCAATCACAGCGCTTGCGGTCCGCGTCGACGTGACGCAGAAGCATAAACTAGGCTTTATATTCATGACACTGTATTAAAACCATAGACTGTATATAAAGAGATTAAAACATGACTGACCGGTAACTTTTTCTCTTCGCAGTGTTCCAGGTGGGTGCTTGACAAAAAAGGAACCAAAACAACAATCTTTATTTACAGTCTGTGGCACAAAAAAGAACAAATGGCCTTTCACAGGATTTAAAAGAAGAGTTACAGCCGAAAATCCTTCTTACTTGTCTTCCAATAGAGAAGCTGCTTTTTGCATTCTCACTGTCGAAGCTGAGCCACAAAACTCTGCCCTGCTTCTTGACTGGGGCTTTTACTCGTGTTAGCAACCCATAATCCATGAAATACTGTGTGATACAGGGACAGCTATTTTCTTTAAGTAATATCAACCATCAAGGACGGTGAGTGTAGAGTAAACACACTGTAAAACATTCCTTGTAATGTTTATCTTGCTTTTATTGGAATACAAATGCAAATTAAATTAATCCCAACTAGTGCTTTAGTCAACAGGAGATGTAACTTAAAAACAACCAATGAAAAAAGTGATAGATATAAAATGTTTAATATAAAAGGCAAGCAAGGAGCAAAACACATTTCAGCACTTGATTGATGAGGTCACTTCTTTTCTTAAGACATACACAAATGCTTTCAGCCTTTAAAATAAAACAGGATTTGAATAGTTAGTTGATTATAGATTACAAAAGAATCAGTAGTGCACACATAACCACGCAGTGGCTCCATACTGTGTCAGTTAAACACTGATAACTTCAAATGCTAGCATGCCAACCAGCTAAAGATGCCACAACCATCAAATCAATCAATCAAATGTATTTATATATCGTCGGTATCACATCAAACAGTTGTCTCAGGGTGCTGCACAAAAGTCCAAGATCTTAAGAAACACAAAAACCAACTTGTTCCACACTGAGCTAGCATGAGCAACAGCGGGGAGGAAAAACTCCCAGGTGGAAGAAACCTCTGGCAGAACCGGGCTCGGTGTGGACGGCCTCTGCCAGGACCGGTTGGGGTGATGGAGAAAGAACAAGTAATACAGGGGAACAAAAGGAAATAAAGGGGGAGGTTGAGTCACAGTGTCAGGTCAAGGGCTTGAATCCAGCCCGGGAATCTCCACATGGACATTTGCATGGTCTCCCAAGGGTGCGGTGGTCCCCCCGGGCAGTCCTGCCTCCCTCATGGTCCAACATGTGCAGTAGTAGCACCCATGGCTCCAAAGGTGGGAGGTCCTCAGGTGAGAGTGCCCAAGGTCAAATGGTTTTATTTATATAGCATTTCCAGTGATGACCACTCAAAGCCATTGTCATTCACCCATTCACACTCATCTATTAGCAGAATAATAATGTGTATATAATAGACTGCTCTATCGCTCTTCCCCCTCAGCCACCGCAGATTAAWATCAAAAATATATTAAATTTAACTAACATAAATACTCTTATCCAGCTTCAGTTGAGCAGCTTATGGCACTGACTTACGATATCTTTTATTGTAACTACTCAACAGTGACATTGCAACATTATCATATAATTGAGTATCTGGTTTTTGTATTTTATGTATCTGGTTTTGACTTTTGTATTATTTCATTTATAGTTCATTTATGTATTATTATACATGTCTTTTATAGCTTCAACTCTGAATTTATTACTGTAATCAAAATTACTTTTATATTAAACAAGGAAAAAATAAACGACATAACTACAACGTACGTATAGAAATTGTAAAGTGCTGCTTCCTCTGATTTGTCAGTGCAAGTTGGGACTGTGAGCTCATTTAAATGTGCTGCATGATCTTCTCCAAACCTTACACCCCCCCCCCTCCAACGGCATAGTGGTGAGAGAGTGAATTTCCATTTGTGTGGACTATCCCTTTAACAGATACACGGCACCTGAGCTGTTGCACCGGTTCCCTGGATGAACTCACGTGTAGCACAGGTGGAGCCTGTAAATCCCCGACCATGGATATCATACTCCCTAAGAAACACCATGTGAGAAAAAACATCATGAATTTCCAAAGGAACAGCTATAATGAAATGTATTGTTAGAATAAATTACCTCTAATAACTGCATGAGAAATAGCTTTATTTTCAGTAAAGATATTAATTAATATTTTAACTTTAAGTTTGAGGGAAACTTAAGAGCCACTTAGTACTGCAGCAAATTAAACTGWATTACCGGTTCTTCTGCTTCTGGAGGGTCTGAGCTCACTTGCATTCTTTGACCCTCCATCCCCGTCTTGATGTCCCTACGTGTGAACAGGTCTCCCCTAAACAATCAAACATCAGTTAATAGAAGATAAAAGAATTCAATATAAAATACAGAATTACTGAACTTGGCACCTTGAACCAAAACATGGCAGTTTCTCAGCTTTATAAAGATACCACACTGCTGCTGCTGCTGCTGCTGCAAGGATGATCAGAAGAGAAAATAAGATCCAACAAACAGTGCAGGATCCTGTAGGGAGACAAAAACACAAGAAAGAAGAACAGTTAGAGGAAATGCTGATAAACACTGTCAGTTGATCTCGCTAAAACTTGGCACTGTGATCAGTGATTTAGTGATTGATGGGGACATGTCGAGCTGTGTGGTTTTTCAGTGTGCACTGCAACTATGGAGCTTTTTTCTTATCTTTATTCAGGAGCGTGGTCTTTCAGTTTGAGGGCATTAAATCTATGTTCAGACTGTGGATTACYTTTCATCAAAACCCTGTCCATGCACTCAAATATCCCCTTGCTATATATTGCGGTATATACAATCACTATCTTTTCTTTCCAAAAGTCACAGAGAAAGCAAGGGGAAGTTGGGGATATTTATAAATAATAATAATAAAGCTGTGGAGGACGGGAGTGGATGAACCCGGTCAAAGAGTAACCGCCTGCACRGGAGAAATCTGAGGGCAGACGATTCACGTGTGCACTGAAAGCAGACTGAGTGGGGAGAAGAGCTGGAGCGCAGGAAATCTGTGCACACGTGATACTGTATGTGAGTGCGAGCACAGTTTGAGCAGAAGCAGAGCACATTGAAGTTCAAACAGGGGCTATTTYAGTGCAAGATACTGTGTTCATAATGCTACATTTTAAATGTTGTGCTGAACATCTATTTTTTCCTGTTTCAATACATGACATGAAAGGACCGGGACAGTGACATGAAACATTTCACAAGCTCATTTCCTGTGGTGCAGTGGGTTAACTACTGCATGGGCGGTGGATCATACAAAAAAGGAGGCCAACAGCTCCTACACACATACCAAGCAATTTCTTGAGTGGGATAAACACTTCACCAGTGTAGTGTGAGTGTGTCTTGGATTGTGTTTTCCTTTAAGAAGACCTCAACAGAAGAAGTATGAGAGGACTCCTACATAAATACATGCAGCAGTCCTAATTTTTTGAATTCCAAGAGACACACACAAACAAGATGGCAACATTCATAACAGACTCCAACACAGAATGTAAAACTAGACCTCACCTGGAATCACAGATCTAAATACGTAAACA